TGCACTTCGGAATAAAATAATATAAATCTCAAAGCTCTAACTCGGCACGTGGGTGAATGATATTTCGCAAGAGCGCACGCGTTGTGATCACGTGACATCGCGAAAGACAACCAACCAAGCACATGTGACCGCTACATGATGCTGCATTTTTTTTTTTTTGGTTTGTCTAATTACCAAGCTTAAATATTCAGGTCGATGCAAAATAAATAATTTTCTATATATTCACATAAATTTATATTTCTTCAATTATTGTTTTTAGTGTGTTTGTCATTTTAAATGATATAAGTTATGTCATTTTAGGAAAGAGATAGACACATAAAACGAAAATCATGTAAGAGAGAAAGTGAGTGTTTTTTTTAATTTAAAATTTAAATAAAAAAATTTATTCTGTGTCTATCTCTCTCTTAAAATGACATAACTTTGTCATTTAAAATATGACAACCACTTTTCCTTATTTTTAAAATAAGTAATCAAATATATAGACTAAAGTAATTGGATGTCTATGTACCAAAAAAAAAGTAATTGGATGTCACCATCGTTGATATCAATACAAAAAGCAAAAAGTAAAAAGTAAAAAGTATTGTATGGTTGCTATTGCTAGTTGGATTCTTTGTCAACAAAACTTTTTCAGATTAGAATCATAAAAGTGGTTGAGCAAGAGGGAGAAGGGCTAGGTACAGAAGAAGAACATGTTAAGCTCAAAATGTATGGAATTGGAAGTAGAAATTAAGAGCTTAATGAAGGCATGGCTTTCAGTGATAGCCTCTCTATGTTACTGTTATTTCATATCATCAAACATACCCAAAGGCATATTCAGGTTTCTATCCATATCCCCAGTTTTGTACCTCTTCACTATCCTACCTCTTCAACTCTCCACTGTTCTTCCAACAGGTGTCACTGCCTTCTTCATCACTTGGCTCACCAACTTCAAGCTCCTTCTATTCACCTTTGATTTGGGCCCTCTTTCATCTAACTCACCAAAATCCCTTCTCATTTTCCTCTCTTTTGCTTCCCTCCCAATCATAATCACCCAAAAAAAACATACCCTTCTTACCAAAACCCCTCAAATTTGCATCTTTTTCTTCCAATTAAGGCCTTCCTTTTTGTTCTTTTACTAATTGGCCTAATTCACCACAAACAAAAGCTGCACCCCACAGTTCTTTTCGGTGTTCACTGTAGTCTGTTATATCTATTGGTGGATGTTGTTTTGGGACTCATCAATGTTGTGGTCAATGCTTTACTTGGGATTGAGCTTGAATTTTCGTCTGATGAACCTTATTTTTCAACTTCATTGGATGATTTTTGGGAAAGAAGGTGGAACCTTATGGTGACAGATACCATTTAGCGTGACACCCTCCCCTGTGTGCACCCAAGGGAGTTGTCTGCTAAGCGGATTAGAGTCGTAACGAATTTTTAAATAAATACAGCACTGCGTTTTCGAGTTACTAATTAACTATTAGTTTGAAATCTGGGAGTTTACTGAAATCAGAGTGCAACTTTACAAAATGCATGGCTTGCTGAAATAATGGCTTTCCTGAAAAACCTTGCTGCCTTGTAAAAATCGTATAAATTCGAGTTCAACAGCTTAAAAAAATATTTTTAGATACAGGAAACTAGACATCCGGAACTTTACGTGCATATAAAAATTGTTTCATTCGGAGGTGTCTAGCTCCCGAAACTGAACTCGCAAAGTATAAGACAAATCAGTGCAATGTTCCAAAACGACCTGACTTGCAAAAATCATAATAAATCGAGCTTTCAGAATTTCATTGTAAAATTTATATAATCTTAAACTAGACACATGGGGCTTTAAGCACATATAAATTATTCCTCAAACGGAGATCTGTAGTCCCAGAAACAGAACTCGCAAGGTGCTCGCAAAATCAGTTTCAGAAATCCGAATTTAAAAACGAACAAAAATTGTTTTCGCAAACGAGTTCAACATTACGTAATTTACAAACAGTACATAAATCCCAAGTTACAGCCAAATAATATATGATCCAACATTTTTCCAATCTCCCAAATATTACACCAACGTCAAATATTTCATGCGCATTCAGCAAAATCAGCAACAGACAGTACAATTTCCAACAGTAGCATGTAAACAGAATATCCCCAATACAAGTACATCATAATCAAATGCTCTTTCGTACTCCTGCAATTTATAAAATTGAGCCCCCGAAGGGGTGAGAAAAATCTCAGTAGTGCGGCAGTAAAACCAGTAAAGCAACAATATTAGACTAGGCACAAAATTCCAAAACAGCCGCATCAACATTTAACTTTCCGGACAGATGCTAACATATAATCATAGTGCGTATATAAAGCCAAAGTACTAATCATGGTGCGTATATAACGTCATAGTTATCATAGTGCGTATATAACGCCTTCGTAAGGTACGTTCATAGCACCGTCGTGCACGTACTAACATACACAATGGATATTCCATAATGGCTCCCTCAAAGGTGAATTCCAACTGTGGCCTATGCGGACGGAAGCCAAGTGTCTCATACCCTGGTACCGGAGGGATGCCTATATGATGCGTGCTCATTCATATGCTTTCTTATATTATAATTCGGTTTCCAAACTGGATGCACAATGTTGTATGCCATGATATGCTTCGCACACACAAAAGAAACATGAATTATGATGTATTTATGCATGACTAGATCATCATCATAATAGCATATACTTCATGTACTTTTAATACCAAACTGCCGCATAACAATTACTTCTCATAACAGAAGTTCCATCATAACAAGTCCATAGGCAGAATACATATAACATTTAACAGAGTACACATCCAAAGCACATGTGAGCAACTATTCACAATCTCATACACTAGCTAATAGTCACAATAGGTCTCACCACCAAACACTTACCTTGTGTGCCCAAATATCAACCAAACAGCATGTAAATCAGCCCACACTTTAGGGAATAAGCGCACCTAAGCAAAATATAGCAAGTCAGAATCATTCGTCATGTATTTTCCTATACTTAGCATACGTTTTCACTTCTTGTGACCCTTAGTTCCTAATCGGACTACAGGGTTCTTTTTCTAATAATTTCCTGACTTCAATTCAATATAATCAACTTGTTAACAGTGAGAAATCCAATGTTAGTCAAGCATGACAATTCGGTTTTAACACTAAAAGTAACCTCATGATTTTTATTCGCATGTCCAACATACTTACCTATGGTGCGCTAACAAGGCCTAAAGCATGCTGTCAAGATTAATTTAATTCATATAAAGCTTTGATACCGCAACATATTCCAACCAGGGGGTCCATATTCCAAACTAATGATTGATTCTTTATTGTGTAACCATAAGACCCCTTTGGTTCCAACATGGCAGAAATAATAGGATAAAGATGACACAAGGCTACTCCTTAAAATACACTTGCAAGCTCAGTTCGGCGAGAAACTAAGGGCACACGTTTATCTATTTACAAACTAGTTTCTACAAAGCTTAAGTGAGATTGAACAAGGTCTATAGCAGGCTGACTATACAGTTTTAATGCATGCCAAGATTAACCAAATATTCCAATCCAAGGGCTGGTCTAGCACCCTTAGAGAGGCTTTTGTTCAAGTTTACAAAATTCATATTAAGCTTACAAGCATCCAGTTCTAGAGTCGCTCGAAGGGGTCAGAATTTAAAAAGAAAGAGGATGGCCAAATAACATATTCTCCTACATGCAAGTGGGGGGTCGAAACATGAGAACAAAGAATAGAAATGACAGCACCATATTGAGGTGAACAAGGAGAGGGAAAATTGCTCACCTTCTTGGACTGGACCTTCGGCTGAGTAGGGAAGGAAAGCAGAAGGTGCTCCATTATTTTCTGCTCCTTGCCACCTCTACTCTCATCCTTTAATTTTAATGAGTTAAAAAGTTAAAATTATGATATACTTTAAAGTTTAAAATGAACTTGGATGAATCCAAAAAAAAAAAAAAAAAAATTGGATAGATGTATCTTTATATCTTCACTTTCGATACAATTTTACTCTGTCCGGAAATTAAATACCAGAATCTTTTTCAATTTAGTGTCACTAGAAATTTTTTGGTTTAAGGTAGTTTTAGTATTTATAAAATTCTCATATTTATAAGTTTCGATTCTTATAATTTTTTCTAGAGTATCGGTACTTATAGCTTTTCATCCTTTAGAGACTGATATCTTAATAAGTTAGACTATAGAAGCTAATCATTCTTGAAAATAAGGATTATTTAACTTTTGATGAATAAAGTATGTAGAAACTAAAGTTTTAACATAAATAATAAATAAAAGAAATTTCTTCACCCTTTAGCCTGTCCCGCCCCGCCCCACCCGCCGTCAACCTGCCAAAAAATGAGTCGGCCCGCCCCGCCCCGCCCCGCTTTTGAAAGTGGGCTGAAAAACTCAGCCCGCCCCGCCAGCCCGAGCTTATTTTACACTGACCCGCCTTGACCCGCCTATGCCCGCTATCAACCCGCCAAAAAATGAGCTCGCCCCGCCCCGTTTGGTGGGTTGGACGAGTTGGCCCACCGAGCCGAGCCCGTTTTACCTGCTCTAGATGAGAGTGAGACAACTTAAAAGATATTTATCTTATTTTTCGCAGTCAATTAGTTATTTAAGTATTGAGTCTATTGACACTTTTGACATCGACGAATATTTCAGCAACACCCTGCATTGCTCTTGTATTATCTATCATTATAAATAGTTAGAATTTAAGTGTGAGCGATAAAATCTCATATCAGAAAGGATGTAAAATTTTGGAATATGAGTTAGGTAAAATTTTGGATCAAGAGGCAAGCAACATTAGACCTACTTATTGTGATTAGCTAGACCATTAGCAGTGGTCTTTGGCTCTTCGCCATGGCCACATGACATGAACACATCCTAAAATGCAAAATCACCTCTCTCAAGAATTTTTCTGATCGTAAACTGTAATTAAAATGACTTACACATGAAAAATTTCAAGTAACTAAGTACATTTGATATTTAAAGAAAACATTATACATGTCCACCCGTAGCATTCCTTCTACACAATGTCATCTTTAATATATACAACTAACGGGTCTTAAAGGACGATGAATATTTACAAATGATGGAAATGGAAGCCAAGGAAAACATCACATATATATACATTTTTGCGAATCTTATCAGTCACAACAGAACTCAAACTCAAGAAGAGCATAGCAGAAGCATACGTTAATGTTAGTCAATGTCTCAACCAAGATGTCATTTATAATGAAGGAAACATCCATCCCATGGTCCAACCAAGAAGCAAACCAGCACCAGCAAGGCCTAAACCCACTGCAAAAGCAACAGCACATTTTCTAATCCCACATCTTCTGACACTACTCTTCTTCTTTTTACCTCTGCCATGACTCTTCTTGAGCAGCATTCCACTGCATGGGACCCAGGGTAAGGTTGCTGGAAAGAGATTTAGCAATGGCTGGTTTTTGTTTCTTAGTTGAAGGCACAGATTCTCAAGCTGCAGCATGTGGAACCACTGCTTGTAAGCAAAGAGTTGTGAAGCCTGTCTGAAAAAGAGGCTCAGGATATGCTCCTTCTCGCTGTATGCTTGCTGTGCTGCTTTCTCAGCCTCTCTTGCCCTTGTTTGAGAATGACACAATGCTTCCAACAACTCAGCCATGCTACTGTTCTCAGAATTTGTTTGGCAATCTTTGTTGCTTGAACCAGAATCTTTGCTCTCCCTGGAACTGAACATATGGAGCATAGTTTGATCATAAATTGAACTTAGCATAATCATGATATTTCTACTCACTAGTGGAAAAGTTGTAAAGCTTGTTTTCCAAGAAATTTTTTAAAAAAAAAGTCACAAGGAAGTGTTGGTATGCATCCTAAATTCTTACTTAATAGAATGGCTAAAATATTATTTTTCAATGGTTAAAAACCAGGTAGTGCATGTCCATGACTTAGCAGATATTATAAAAGAAAAACAACGGGATAGCAAAGATAGAAGCAAAAACATATTTTTCAATGTAATTAAACATAGCTTAAGAAGAAAGTGGGGAGAATATATTTTTAAAGTTCTTTTCTTTTTTGTGAATTAAATTCATAAATTACTTGATATCCTGCACATGTTAGTAGCTCTATACATTTAACTACAAAAAGCAGGCTTAAATTCAGTTGAATATGTACGTCATCAAATTCTCTGTTAACTTGAGAAGGATAACTAAAGCTTCTTCTAGCAAATTGGTAACGGCATGTAGTCAGAGCCACAAGTCTGTCAAACGAGGAGATCAAGGAAAAATAACTCACCCGTATCATAAAATATCCATATCCAGTAGGGACCAAGAGTGAAGTGGGTCTAGGAACCCCCTCCAACTTGATGTTGATGGTGCATGGTAGAAGTTATGACAACTCTACTCCTATCCTATCATTGGAACTCACAAGTGAACCACCATCACTACTCCAGTACTCTTAGAGGTATAAGGAAAATAAAATAGCTTTGAAACCCGTCGAAATTAATAATTATGAAGAGGTTTCTTCATGTTACTTGAACACGGTTAGGTCATTTGGGTTTGAAATGGTATAATGGATGGATGCACACATCTAAGCTATAGAAAAAAGAGTACTATCTCATGTGAATAATGGAGGGTTTGGCACATGGGATAACTAGCATCAGTCCCTATCACTGTTGCATGGGTACAAGTACAAGTCTTGGTATTGGTATGGATAGTATTCATTTTTCATAAATAAAGTATTAAAATCATAATATAAATACAGTTTTAAATCATTTTCTAACTCAAGTAAGCAAAAAGTTTTAAGGAAGGCACAAATTTTGAAGGTAGTAGAGTAGCAATTTGTTTCACTTAGAAACAAAACAAACAACTTAGAAACAAAATTTGGTGTATGCATTGACTGGTTTGTACTTGAGAGATAAGTGAGAATTGAGTACGTAACCATGTGTATCCAATAAGTAATGGCACCAAATAAAAACCCAGTATGGGTAAAGCAATTATTTAGCAGTATCCATCCATCATACATCCCAATTAAATAGCATTAAAAATAACATGCTTAAGTTGTGGTAATGTTTAGCATCTGGAAATTGAATACTTTAAACATGAAGAAACAACAATCTTCTTCCTATATGAACTGACCATGACGGCAAAGATTACAGAAAAAAAACTGTTTTAAAAAAATTGTAAAGCATCCCTCTGCAGAATTACCTGAAATGCTTGTTTGAATCCTGAGATGAACGGCCAGAACAGCCAGAAGTGGGTGTTCCAGATGTATAACCATCCCCATTGAAAGAACCAGCATCAGCTTTCAGGTTTAAAGATGATGGTGGAGTCTTATCATGGTCAACAACCTTTGGATATAGGTGTCTCTGCCTAAATTGCTTAGTCTGTGGATGAGGGAGATCACAATTCTCAACATGTTCAAGTGACTTCTGAGCAACCAAGGAAGCTAACTCATCCTTTGCGGCACTGCGCCACCAAGGCCGAGTTTTCTCAGCTCCCATCAAATGTGATTCCAGATCAGATGGTGTCACTTTACCTTGTTCAGAGACCAAGAAATTGGAAATATCAGAGTCCATAAAATGATAATCTGAAAAACAGAATTCCCCCTGATCTTTCTTCTTAGCAGTAAAATGTGAATCATTATACATTGAAGCCTCAATTTTTGGCATTATGGTATTGTTGTTGTTTTTCATACACGTAGGAGAGACATGCCCTGGCTGCTCTACACATAAATTAGCACTTCCAATACAAGTAAGAGAATCCAAGTTTTTGATAGATTGATCTCCCCTATTTTTGACATTGTCATCAAGAAATCCAGCATAGAAGGCAGAGAGTTCAGACTCGGAGGAATTCAGATCTTGACATGTATAATTTTTTGCTTCACCCCCCAAGTTGCTTTTCACATGTAGCCACCACTTCATGTCTGGTAACCTATCAGGATTTAGATCATGGGGCGTGCAATTTTTTTGATCATTAATAGAATTACAAGGTTCCCTATCAGATACTAATTTTTTTAATGATTGTTGGTCTGAAGAATTCAAGGGAATACGGAAATCATGAGTAAAATAATTAGCTGTGTATGGAGCCCTCCCTTCAGCTGATGCCATTACCACTTGGTCTCTGATTTAAACTATTTTAAGGAGCATCGTTCAATGGACCGACCCTACATCTGTTGAATCAGCAAGACAAAATTTCAGAACATTAGATGCAACCTATGAAGATCAAAATCAAATCTTAATGAAAGTGTTAATCCCAAATCTCTAGCATATAAACAGATTAAGAAGTAAACATGAAGCAAGGAACGACAAGGATATTCGATTAACTGATTAAAGGAGACACAAAATCAGACACACATGGAGAGAGAGAGAGAGAAGACTTGCCTTTGCTTAAGATCTGAAGTTCCTTTTTACACCGAAACATGTCGGTGAATCGGTGATTCGCATGAACACCCGTACAAGAGAATCCTCTTTATAGAGTAAGGTAAGAGTAAGACCATGGTAATTGTAACAATTGTAATAATTTGTAACGACACGTTGACAAACAGATAAAAAAAGAGAGCGTGGTAATCCTTTACTTTGTTCCCATGTCCTTGTCCCATGCTTTATTTGACTGCTTGTTGTCCTCAATAAATATGTGCTTTTTCACTTATCTCTTTATTCTCCTTCCGTGTATTTTCGGGAGACTCACCATTTTGTCACACTTTATAAAAAAATTTACCAGACTGTCATGATGCTAACAATAAATTTTATCAAAATGTCATGTGGCATATTTTGTTGCATATGATTCACTACACAGTGATGCGAAATATGTCATGTTAAGCTACACAGTCAGCAAAAATGACACGTGTCAAGCAGACAAAAATTTGTTATACTGTGTAGCGAATTATACTTGGATTCTGCCTGCTTGATACGTGTCATTTTATGGCATATTTTACTATATTGTGTAGCAAATTATATACAAACATATTTCGCTACACAGTGTAATAAAATATGTCGCATGTCATTTTCGAAAAATTTACTACGTGATAGTCTAATAAAAAAAATTTGCAATAAAATGATCACTGTTCCTGTATTTTCCCGGGAAGGTGTCAGTTTCATTGTGCCTTGTCTTTGTAAGACTTCTTTTATTAAAAAATATATATTTTCCTTGTTTTCTTATTTCAATTTTTGGTTGACAAAAGTGTATTTTTTTTTTTTTGGGTACAACAAAAATGTATGCTTTAATTCCCCATATGTTAATATTTAGTTATCTTATTTAGTAGTACCCCTTTTTACTTATAAGAAAAAAAGAAAACGACCCTTGAATTTAATTTGTTGCACGCATCCCTCGAACAGGCCATAACTTCTAATCAAGACCTTTTCTTCTCCTTACCTCACTCAGCTTAGCATATATGAATGCAAATCCAAACACTATTTGATAGGATGGGTCAAAATCTCTCAATATTTTTATTCCAATTAAATCCCTGTCAATGCTTTTTCTTCCTTTCCAATTTTACGCAATTGTGTTAAAATGTGGCGCGGATGATTATCCAATGTAGTGAAATTGACTTTATCGTATATTCCCCACCCTCCTTCCCCCTTCTTCTTTTTTATTTATTAATTTAAGCATATTATTTCTTATTTCTTAAGATTAGAGTAAATTAAAAAGTAAAACATTCCAAAATTAATCTAGTTACCATGAATTTGAATTCTAGAGCTGCGAAAATGTACTCAAGTCTGCATGCTAATCCGCAAAGACTTATATTTGACCCTAATTTATTAAGAATTTTTTGTGGAGGGGACATTTTTACTCCTAACTTCCAAAATCCTATAAGTTAGGAGACTGGTTTAAGACTTATCCGCCGGCCAAACATTTTTTTATCAAAATTTTAATTATTTAAAAATATTAAAATATATATATAAATTTAAGTATTTATAATCATAAAATAAATTATAAACATAATATAAGTAAAAATAAAATTTTTAACAATGACAATGTGTTTCAACATAGAATTTCATCTGAGCATCAGACAAATAAAATTCTTTAAGAAAAACTTTATTTTCACCCATTGTGATTTTATGATTTATCATTTAACCCTTTGTGATTTTAAATTTATCATTTAGGCCCATTGTATTTAAATAATTTATCATTTAATTCCCTATGGTTTCAAATTTTCACTTACACTCATTGTGATTATAAAAATATATCATTTAGACCCCTTGTGGTCTTATATATATAATTTTATTTTTATTTTTCTTCCCTTTTATCTTATATTATTGTCATATTATAATTAAAATTATGTACTGAAAAATATAAATTATTTATTTAAATTTAAATTAATTTTTATTAATAATAATATCAATTATATCCTTATAATTTTATACATATAAAAAAAATTATTTTCCCTCTTTTTTATTAGATATCCTCATCTAATGCATTTAACGCAAATAAATAAAAATAAATTTTAAAAAAGTCACTTATTTTTATCATGAAAATAAATTCAAATCAAATATTATTTTATTTTATATATTTTTTACCCAATATCATTATGAAATTATCTAAATAAAGTAAACATCTTATTTTGATAATATATATTTAATTTATCTTAAATATATTTTTTTAATTTTCAAATATATTTTTAAAATAAATAAAAAAATTAAGTTGATTTATAAATTAATTTCAAAATAAATAACTTGAAGTATTTTTAAATTTAATATTTAATTATTAATTTTACTATAATTTTATTTGATAATTTCATAAATATATAAAATAAAATCTAGAAAAAATAAATATTTTTATATTTATAAGATCACAAGGGATCTAAGTGATATATTTTTGTAACTACAATGAGTGTAAGTGAAAATTTGAAATCACAGGGGTAAATGATAAATTATTTAAGCACAATGGATCTAAGTAACAAGTTTATTGCCACGAGGGGCAAGCGATAAATCATAAAATCACAATTGGTGAAAATAAAGTTTTCTCAATTTTATATTGACATCTATGCATGTTGTATATCCAAATTTGCATTAAAAGTAAAATGGGATAGGTTATTCTACCTACCTTTGTCTACCACTCTAAAAAACCATTAGATCAGAATCTTAATTAACATTTATCTTTCTCTCTCCTCTTTAGATTCTAATCTAACGGTCTTTTAGAATGGTAGCCAAAGGTAGGCAGAAAAAATAGTAAGTAGAATAACTTATCCCAAGTAAAATATTCTATTAACATCTAAGCATGTTATATATCCAAATTTGTTGTATATAGTGCACCATGGTAGTTTCGTGGATAATAATAAATATAATGGTTTTTATTATGGTAGTAATTGAAGAAAACCAATGGTTTAACTTTCAAATATATAACACTAAATACAATTGTTCAATACTGGATTTAAAATCATTTTTCCATCGCCCTTTTGGCTTTCCACAAGAATCAATGTCAAGAATGGTGCTATTATGACCCTTGTTGAGAAAATTTTCATCTGATGGCATCCTTTACCGACGAAACTTATCAAAGATTGTAAAATTAGATTTGTACTTATATTAAAATTTTGTTTATATTTTCACTTGTATATTTGTATACAAATATTATTTTATTAAAAAAATTAAATTATGAAAAAATTTATTTTGTATAAAATATTTTATGAAAGTATTGAATATTTATTTGTTAAAATAATTTTGAATGTATTAAATATGATAAAAAATAAAAAATTAAATTAAATTATAATTTTAAATGGCCCTTAGACTAACCCATATGGGCCTTTATTATTGTGAGTTATTTGACTCCATAGACTTTTTTGACTCTAATCTGCACACGAGCTAGGCATAATAGGATACACCAACCCATTTTAACAGTTCTTTCTTCCTTTTTTATGTATGTTTCATTATTCTAATTATCCTTCCAACTCCGATGCCAAAGATCTTAAACTCTTTTATTTTTATTTTTTATAGTTCATTTGTGGGTTCATATTGCCTGTTTAACCATCCCTAAAGGTTTCTTCCGTTCTTATTTTAAGGTAGGAGTTTTCGAATTGGCACCCCCAACCCCAACGGGAACGTTGAAGAATGCTGGTTAAGCGCTCACAAAGGTAGATGTTCCTTTCACCGGAAAGCATAATTGATTACACATGAAAACATTTGGAGAAATGCTTCAAGCATGAAAGAAGGATAAAGATGGAAAACATCATAATCATATTATATACCCTTTCAGTGATGAACCATCTGCTTATACTTCTTCATAAGCACAGACAACCTTCTCTGCAGGGGAAACTTTTCATGTTTTCTTCCTAGCTTATCCAAGTAGTATACTATTTTCTTTAGGGTAGCCAAAACCTCCTCACTCTCATATCCAAATTCTCTCTCTTGGATATTCAGGATCCTTCTAAGCAGCTCAAGTAACTCACTGTCATCCTTACCAAGTCTGGTTTGAATAGACACCAAACAGTCCAAAGCCTCCCCTGCCATGCATAATATATGATAAAGATCAGTTTCAGCCAAAATAAAAAAGGGAAAATTAGGCTCATGTATTTGATTTTTTTCCTTTCATCAGTGAAACTCAATTCAACTGAATTGAATTGATTGAATAATGACTATTTTAAATAATATTGACTTGAACCTGACCATGTTTTTTTGGGAGGAAAGGGAAAACTTACCAACGGGAAGAGAATCTTTTCCAAATGCCTTCTCGCGGATGCGCAAAACCTCCAGGGCAAGTTTCTCTGCTTCTTCATCATTTTTCAAATGGTAGAGTGTAATTGCAAGTTGCAACATAGGAAAACTGATGGACTGGTCATCGGTTCCCTTATGCTTCATCATGATTTTCAAACTTCTTCTCAGCAAGTGCTCAGCCTCCACATAATTCTTTGACCGTGAATATGAAGTTGCAAGATTTATCATGTGTGTCCCTATGCTAGGGTGCTCCTTTCCTTTGTACCTTTCAGTGATCGATAAACATTCCTCTAATAGCTCTCTACCTTCTTGTCCTCTTGAAGTAAAGAAATAGAAAACAACCACAATTAAGTGTTGAGCTACCGTATGCAGAAAGCTTCCATTTAATAACCTCACCTGTTCTTAGTCTTACTTTTTTATTTCCTTTCTGTTTTATTTATATCTTCCGTTCGTTTTTTATGAGAAGGGAGGGGTGGGGGGACAGGGGAGGAGGAGGTGATACAGCAAAAAACCATTAGGTGAGCCAAAAAAAAATACTTTAATTTGTCGGACTTTATTCTTAAATGATAAAAAATACTTAATATCTTTGTTCCTAATACGAAGGTTATAGGGAAGTTTACCTCCCAACAGCATGGAGTAAATCAGCCAGATCTACCCTCATCTTTTCCATTATACTGTCATCCAGTGACATGTAATTTGAATCCTTTATTATCTGAAGAGCCCGTTTAAACAAATTAATTGCTTCATCTGACTTTCCTGCAAAATATATCACACATTCGCTCATAAACAAGTGCCTAGAGTAGCCAGAAAAAATAAAAAATAAAAAGTAAAGGAAAGAAGAAGCTAGTGCCAGTACTTGGACACCATTTAAAGATAAAAAATAGCATCATGGAAGTAATTTCCATATATGACTTAACACTAAAAAACAGTTTGTGTATATATAGGTGGTTATTGCACCATTCTTCTGCATGATACAAGATCCATCATGCATGAATGAACTTCTAGCTCATATTCATGTTAAATGTGCAACCAGGAAAGAAAGAATAGACAAAGGAGGTAGAAAAGAAAAATGGAATATGTAATCAAAGAAACTGCATGAGCAAGATCATAAAGTTACCTAGAGCACACTTCACTTGGGCTAGGGAACTCATAGCCATTCCAATTCTTCCATCATTTTGTCCATATAATTTTGTGTATATATTAAGAACCCTAGAAAACAACAAAAAGTAAAAGTAAATATAGAAGAAGGTAGGAGCCACTAATGCACTGAATAGGGAAGGAAGAAAACAAAAAAAGGAAGCTTAACCTAGTAAAATGAGTTTCTGCATCATTGGCTCTTCTTTCTTTCAGCAAAAGATTGCCAAGACCAAGTAAAGGTACAACCAAATCCTTATTTTCAGCACCTCTATTTGATTCCAAAAGAGTGATTACACGCTGGTATATCTCTATTGCTTTTGTTGCTTTTCCAATAGAACCAAGAACTTTTGCCATACCCAAATAGGGTGTGACAAGAAATGTGCTATCCTTACCTATAAAAAGAAATTATATTCAGTATACCAGAATTTGAAAAATGGAATACAACAATTAAAAGATAGACATGCACAAATTAAGAAATGTGTTAAGATATCAGGAGATGGAAAACTGTTAAAGTAGCTTCTAACTAGACATGCACAAATTAAAAAATGTCAAGAAAATAGATCCAGGATTTTAATCAAACAGATAAGTAACCCAACATAAATAACCACAACCATTCACCATAGGAAAATAAGATTAAATAGTAAAAAAATAATAATATTACTAACTGAAAGATGCACTCACCATAGGTTCTCTCCATAATGTAGACAGCCCTTTGATATGTGTCCAACGATTTTTCAAACTTGCTTAATGTTGCATACATACTTCCCATATGGATAAGTATTGAATCTAGATGTGGTTCATCTTCCTTCAAAGTGTCAATAACTTCTTTCATCTGGCCATTAATTACGAATAAATACCATAGAGAAAAGGGAGTGAATCACTAAACATTTAAGAAGGAAAAAAACAGAAATAGGTGTGCAAATGCATGCCTTCAGCAATAGAAATATGATTTCAACAGAAATCTGGAACATACAATTATTTGCATTTACCAGCTAGGTAAATACAGACTAAGACAGTCACAAAGGAAAGTACTTCAGTATAAGTGAGGTCAAATAATACTAATAGAAAACTAATAACCAGACAGTTGGAAACACTCAGCTTTGTGCAAGAAAACATGCCTGTCAAGAGTGATTGCAATTATTTGACTGCATATGTTTTTGGCAACCATTTATTCATTAAGGCCTCAAACCATTCCAGATGATCCCTTTTTAGTCATTTTCCTCTTCAATCCCCCCTCTCTTTCTTTTCCCCCTTCTTGTCTTTTATCTTATTTCCCCCTTCCCCAAGTTTTATTTTTATTTATTTTTTTATTTTTTAATCTCCTCTTATTTATCATTGGGTTCATCTACCACCGATCCCAATTAGCTTGGGTTAAAGGTGTTGTTGATGTTGATAAGGGGGCGAACCGGAGCAGTGGTAAAGTTGTTCCTTGTTTACCGAAAAAAAAAAAAAAAAAAGTTATTCCTTCATGACTGAAAGGTCATGGGTTCGAATCCAAGAAACAACTTCTTTGTAATTATGTAAGGGTAACGTTGCGTACAAGGATTGTCTCCACCCCACACTCGCTGATCGGGTTTAACGAGGAGTGGTTTTTTTTTATAATTGGAAAAAAAAAAAAAAAAATACACATACACACACAAGGACTCCTTACTGTACTCTCATTATAGCAGAGTCTGGTAAAGATATCAAAATGACTAAAGAATGCACAAGAGTGGGGGGAAAAGGAAAAAATACCATATTCAACAGAGAACCAACAAATTTGAAGTCTCCAACAGCCATGTAACCCAGTGCTAAGATGTCCAAAGCTGCAGCTTCTTCTATGCCTTTAGCACCTGCATTCAGCCTCTCTTTTACCAGTTCATAATTTGCATTAAGCAGGTCTACAGCATCATTTTTGTTTCCCGTCCTTATCATTCTTTTGACTTCATCAAATAATTCTTCCAACTCTCCCTCAAAATTGCTGTTTCTGTGGAATGTGTAACTTGCAGAGTCAAGGGACATTGTCAATCCGATAATGAACAATTTAAGTTATGACAATCACAAAAAGATGCTTTATCCTTAGGGGACAAAATTCTAATACATAGGATAGAAAATTTTAGGCTCAAAAATAGAATTCAGAAATACTTCAAAATATGACAAGGCATAAGTAGTAAAAGAAAGGAAGAAGTCAATATCATTTCAACCAATTCCCACCTCTGACGGTCATTTGGAACTGTATATGCATCACTATGTGGGCCTGTCCCGCCAGATTCCAATGACCTAACCGAAGATCTTGAGATGCAGAACCGAGCAACAGTTTTAATTGGTATAGTGTAAAGCTTTCGACCATAATTCTTCTTTTGATTACAAACTGAGAAGCATGTTATGCTTTTTAACTCACACGATGACAGCATATAAGGAAGCTCTTTGCTTGTCCTAATAATAGATAACAAAGGACATTAGACCTAGCCATCAGAAATTATTTAATCAGATATGTAAAATAAAATCAAGACTTGGCAACTAAAAAGCAACAAGGATAGCCGAGAATGATTATTTGCACTCACAGATTAAACATGTATAAAGTTTAGCCATAGAACTGCACCTAAATTATTAAAAGAAATTTTGCCCTCATCTATATGCATTAGTGTGCCTGTGTCCAGTTCCATCTGATTCATATATGTCAATTTTCGAAATATAATCCAATGGTTCGATTGAACAAGACAATTAATTTCCTATGATACTATAAAAGCATCTCAAAAAACCACATTAACTCAAATCCATAGAATTGACGTTAGAACATAGTCTGGTCAAAGATGAATTCCCACAATGATCAACCTCATTTCCATACTGGCACCAAATGTTTTCCACCCTAATCTCATAAAATGACAGCCAAGCCCACCTAAAATCAACAAGCTACTTAGATAATGTTGCTACTTCCCCTATGAAGCAATCACGCGACAATTAATTGATATCAAAGCCATATATGTTGAACCTATGCATATTTCATTCACGGATCTTTTCATGGCCGTTTTATCAACTCATTTACAAGTATCCAATACTTTAAAAACAGAACATCAAATAGGAGATGGTGAGTTATCCATTTCCTTTCCAAATACCTAGAAAAATAGTTGAACAAATTGAAGTAACGTAAGGAGTCTTATTCCTATAAACCACACCAATTCTGAAGCCTGAAAAAGTAAATTGACTAAAAAATTACTGAATATCACAGTTTAGCATTCTCCAGAATCTCAACAAGTAAGGAAATGCATTTCTTCAACCACCTTACAACTGTAGTCCCTTTTCCCATCCCCATACAATAACTGCTTGTAACCATCACTTTGATGTGCTGATATCAATCTCATACAACCCATTTACAATTTTATTTTATTTTGTGTGTGTGTGTGTTCCATATAGTAGGTGCTGAGTTAATAAAGCACATAAGGTTGAATTAATCAAGTTGTTATTATCCCAAGGTGATTGAAGCAAACAAAAGAGTGACATGGAACTGGTAGGTTATGAATTATGATTTTACAGTTGGGAGAAGCAAAGCATTAAAGAACTAAGTAAGCACAATTCAGATAGACCCATCTCATTTAGACCTTAAAGGATTGCAGGCAAGTTAAGTAAGAAAGAGAACCTGAATCCAATGAAAGAAGGCGAGGGAACAAGAAACGAAGCTTCCATTGTACATAGAAACCTCGTCTCCGTCTTAGGATCAAACCTTAGCAATTAATTAGCATTCAACAAACCACAATTTACAACAAAAAATAAACGGATAAAGGGCGGTTTTGTATTGGGCCTTTTCTTTTCTTTTTCCTTTTTTGGGCCTTTACTTGGACTTGGACTTGAAGACAACCTCTGACTTCTGCTCAAGCCCACCAAAAATTTTTATAATGCGAAAAAGTCAAATTAGGTTTTCTAATTCATGACAATAACTCAATATTATTAATGTGTTGCTAACACAATTATTTTTCTAAAACATGTTTCCTTCATGAGTAATTATATTAATTAGTATTAAGGTTTCATAATAAATATTTGAGAGTACAATAAAAATAATTCATGAATAATAAATGTTTGATTACTCATTAAAAATACCAATATCCATTAAAATGCCAAAAATATTTTAGTATTACGAAAATAAGACAAATTTAAGTTTTTTTTTTACATTTCTCTATTAGGGTCGAGCCAGGTAGGATTACATGTGTTGAAAAACTCTCCCTATCAAAATTTTAATACAATTGTGTATTTAGAATTCAAACTTAAGACCACTAGTTAAGTTGTAATAATCTCTTACCAATTCATTCGTGTGTGCTGGTCAAGTATTTTAGTTCATGTCAATTACTCAATATAATTAGAATGTTTCTAACATATTTTTTTCTAATAAATGTTTGAGAGTACACAAATATAATTAACAAATATTCATTTAAAAAATCATGTAGGCTTATTTTTCTTATCATTAATTAATAAAAATAATCATGTCACATCAAAGGGAGATTATTCATTTCACGTTGCAAGGTATTATACTTATCTTTTGATTGATAGTCTTACTTGGTGTCATCCCTATTCACTTCTCAAAAATTCCTTAGCACCCAACAAAAGTTAATTAGCCTCCTATAAGAACCCAAAAATAAAGAGGTTATTAAATATAATTATATTTGTTATTTTCAAATCCTAAGCATAGTAATGACGTGACCATAATTGTGGAGTTACATATTCTTATTATTTTTTGATGAAAAAAAAACATATCTCACCGGAGTAAACCTTATGTGCCACCAAGTTACTCCAAATACATCAAGTGGGTCCGACACTACATCTCAACCCAAAACCTTAAGGCATTGGGTTCATGGGTTCCTTCCACTTATATACTCTTCACTTAGCCCATTACCAACCAATGTGAGACTCATCACACTTGAATATCCCAACAATTTTCCCCTCAAGTGTGAAACCCACCATTGGCATGCTCCCCCTCAACCGAGTACCCCAAGCGCAAAGTACTCGACCCTCCTCCTAGCCAATCATCAGGCTAGCTCGAGCCCAACCCGACTCTGATACCAATGTTAGGCCGTGCACAGGGAGCTCATGGCGGGGAGAGACCGCCAACCATGGGCCAAGTGAACAGCAACATTGAGTGGGCTCGGAACACCACAATCAAACCCAAAACCTTAAGGCATTAGGTGCATGGGTCCTTCCACTTATATGGTGCTCACTTAGTCCATTCTTAACCAATGTGGGACTTTTTTCACTCAATCATTCACACTTGGATTCCTCAACATCTCCCCCTCAAGTGTGAATCCAAGGCCCACATTCTTTCCTATTCTTTCCTCGAGTTTTCATGGGGTTCCTCATCAAGGCTTGGCTATCCATCAAGACCTTGGCTTCCCACATCAAGACATACTCGGATCACCACAGGCCAATCCACCATTAGCTCTGATACCAATGTCAGGCGGGTCCAGGGAGAAGCCCGTGGCGAGGGGCCACCACCAATGAGCTAAGGCTACATCAACCGTAGCAAGTGGATCCGACACCATGTCTCGACCCAAAACCTTAAGGCATTGGGTTCATGGGTCTCATCCACTTATATACTCTTCACTTAGCCTATTACCAACCAATATGGAACTCATCACACTTGAATATCCCTACAAATGCATCGTGAAGCATTGACACCATTCTGAAAAGCACCGACATGTTTCGACACATGATTAATATTTTAAGACACGCAATCAAAGATTCGACACACATTTTTAACACGCAGTCAACTTTTTTTGACACGCGGTCAATATTCCGACACGGATTTGATAGTTTTTTTTTTAAGTCTAAATTTTATTTTATTTTATTAACTAAACATGAAAAAATAATTTGTAAATCAATTTTTTCTATTATAAAATTTGACATGAAAAATTCTTTTTGCTTTATATTTATGTTACGAAATTTGAATATTTGATTGGTTATATGACTTATTATGAGTTATTATATGTATTAAATATAAATTATATTATATATATTAAAAATATTATTTAATATCAAAATGTATCCTAACATATCAAAATATGATATTTTTTAGAATTAATGTATGGGCATGTTATGTCCCGTATAGGACACCATTTTTATAACTTTCGAGTTGAGCTATTTGTCATCATGTTATTTGGACTAGCCCATTTTTATACCTACACCTAGGGGTGTAAATGGGCCAGGCTGGCCCTGCCTACATTGAGCCCAGCCCAGGCCTGGCCTTTCAGAAAAGTATAGTAGGCTTAGGCTTATGAAAAAGCTTTATTAATAAATAGGCCATAGGCCAATTTTGTCAAGCCCGGCCTACAGCCTTGTAGGCTGGCCTATTTAATTTATTAAAATAAAATAATAAAATAATATTTATTTTATGTGGGAAAGACACAAAGTACCAAATACCAATATCTCTTACTTTCTGTGCTATTTTATTTTATGAAATGAAAACTTGTCTAATGTCTCCAAATTTTACATGCTGTTACAGCTTAATACCATGGAACAATGGGTACCTTGCTGGATTATGATGTTACTGATGAAGATCTTTCAATAATACTCTTTTTTCCCTTGTCTTGATGGTGGTTTAAAGATTTTTAGATGAATGACATTCTCTTGTAGACTTTATTTCAGCATCCAGTAATTGTATTTTTCTTATTTTTCTCATTTCTTTGACTCTATTCCTCTATGATATACATTCTAGAGCTGGGTATTATGTTGACTCTTTCTTGTTTGTCATTTTTTTCTTATGAGAAGTACTAGTGCATGCATGAATGGAACTTTCTTTGCTCTATACAATTATTTTTTTTGCTTAGTATATATAGTGGAAGGCCTACAAGGCCTGTAGGCCATGTCAAGCTTTCTTATTTTTTAAAAAGGGACGGGTTTGGCCTACAAATAAAGCCTTTAATAGGCCAGTAAGCCAGATAAGCTTAATTTTTTTTTACGTAGGCTTGGACCAGGATGGCCAAAACCCAGCCCAGCCCAGCCCATTTACACCCCTACCTACACCAATCATATCACTTTTTTTTTTTTGAATACTACACCAATCATATCACTAATATTAAATAAAAAAGTAATTATCGTTTTGTTAAATTGTTATATGTAACAAATATTTCATAGTTGTGCTTTTTAAGCACTAAAAAATTTAGAAATAGATAGATTAATCTACCACTAGAACCGAACAGTAACTAATAAGTGTCAAGTCAAACATTATTTTTTAATATTAATACAATTCAATCTTAGGGCAAATGGAATCATCAGTGGTTTATGTGGATAAATTTGCAGTGCAATTGATATGCGGAGAATTAAGTGTATCATTGTCATTTATTTTGTGATAAATAGATAAAAAAATATCATATCATTTGAAAAAAAAATTAAATGACAGCTGATTAAATAATATAATTTTCTGTCTATATATCACAAAATAAATGACAAATACAATGAATCAGTTGTATTAAAAATTTATTGATGTTAACATATGTGATAACATTGACTTCAATTATTTGATGTGATGTTTATATTTCCAGAAGAACATGTAATGTTACACTAATTTAAAGGCAAAAATACCTATCTAAACTATTACTTTAATGACTAAGTTGGGTTTAAAAATGGGTTTAATATCTCTTATATTATAGAAAATATAATTATTTTTTATACATATACAAAAATATGTGAATTTTTTTTTTCTTCTTTTTATATGGATTCACATAAGTTTCATACACTTTTATATGTATATGGAAAATAATTTTTATCTCTTATAACATGATAAACAATAATTTTTTTAAAAATATTACAAATCTAAGACATCCCTAATTCAAATTAAAAGTAAAACTAATTTAGAAAACTCACAAAAAGATGTTATCGTTCTCACATCACGTGGCTGAACAAGTCCGGGTAATTAAAGTTAGGCCAAATTTGGGGTTGTCATGATGTGTGGACTTTCTCATCCAAAATGATCCACTTTAAATTTTTCCGACCTCACCAGATTACACTGTGCTTGACACGTCACCATATCTACATCAAACAATCAGGTTCAAGAACCAGTATTCATAGGACACGTAGCCACTAATTTGAATGGCATAAATGACCACCGAACACACCAACTTCCTAACCTTAAAGTATATTAGCCAATTAGTTACCATCTTCCATTCTTCATCTCCCCCTAAGTCAGTCAAAGTAAAATGAGAAAAATTGGCTATTGCTTTGTTAAAACCATTTTGAAAATAAATAAAAAGAAACAGCTATTTTTGGTTGACTTAGACATCCAAATCAATCATTAGAGGTGTTAAAATGGAATAAAGTCTGCGAGTCAACTCAGAAAGCATTATATTTGTTCCTAACACATTAGGACTCTTTTGTGATAGGGTCTTTTTTAACCCTAACTCTCAAAACCTTATAATTTAGCGGGCTGGCCCTTTGGCCAAACTTTTTCTTTAATCAAAATTTTTATTATTTAAAAAACTAAAGTTTATATAAATTTAAATATTTATAAATATAAGTAAAAATTATTATGAATTTGATGGAGAATATAAGAGAAAATAAAATATGAAAGAAAAGAAAATGAAGTATAGAAAAAAAATAAAATGAGAATAAGTATAAGCAAAGAGTCATATATAAGGACATATCTTATATGCATTTTTAAACATGGAAGTTATAAAAAAAATAAAGAGTCACATCTTATGGACCATATGAAATGTCATTCATAATCCATGTAAAAAGTCATCTATAATATTTTACAATTCCCTTTTGGATGTATTCTACAATTCAACACACCATTACTGTGATAATTATAGAATATATCAAAGATCATGAAAAATAAAGAGTCATGTGTCATGAACTTACCATGTGAAAGTTCATCCATAATATTTTACAATAAAAATAAATTTTTCAGTAGTGATATATTTTAACAGAGATTTTCATCTATGCATAAAAAAAATAATATTTTCTATTGACATCTAAACATGTTATACATCCAAATTTGTATTTAAACATATTGTATACAATGCACTTTAGTAATTTTGTGGATAATAATAACTAAAAACTTTTTGGTAACAGTAGTAGTTAAAGAAAATCAATGATTTCACTTTCAAATATATAGCATACTAAGAGCAGTTATTCAATATTGGTGTTAAGATAATTTTTCCATCATTTCTTTTAGTTTTCCACTATAATTGTTGTATTATGTTATTACTTTCGGTGAGAAAATCTTTATTTGATGACATCATTTAATAATGAATTTAGTAAAAGTAGTAACTAAATTTTCACTTATATTAAAATTTTGTTTACATTTTCACTTGTATATTTATGTACAAATATTATTTTATTAAAAAATTAAATTATAAAATTTTTATAATTTGTATAAAATATGTTAAGAAAGTGTTAAAAATTTATTTATTAAAATATTTTTAAATGTATTGAATATGATAAAAAAAATTATGAAATTATAATTTCGGATGGCCTGGCTGGCCTTAACTAATAGGGCTTTTGGCAAATGCGGGTCTTGATTATTGAGTTTCATTTGGCCCTGCAAGCTTTTTGGCCCTATCCCACGTGGGCTAGGGCCAAATGAGATGGGCTGACCCATTTTGATAGCTCCATCTAATGTCACTTTAGACAATTTTATCTAATATTCATAGAAACGATGTCATTTTTTGTTGAAAAATAAAAAAAATTAAAATGATAAAGAATATTATAAATCATATGAAATAAACTAAAATTACAAATATACCATGATTTTTGCCTCAAAATAACTTCATTTCGATGAATATTAGACAAAATTGCCTAAAATAACGTATATAAATTCTGATGCATCAGTTTACAATCTTTTAAAATCGTTGTTTTGAAAATCAAACTTTAATATCATATCAATACATTAATTAAATCATACAATAAATCAAAATTAAATTTAAAATTTATAACATTCTATATTTAGCTTTCCTTTAAATCGGCTAAAGTTAAATATTCGAATTTTAAAAATTATGGATTCGTTTTTTCTTAAGGTAGTTTAGATAACTTTGTCTAATGTTCACTGAAACAACATCGTTTTAGGGTCGAAATCATGGTGTGTTTATAATTTTAATTTATTTCTTTCTAATTTTTTAATTTTTAAACCTCAAAATTACATCGTGTCGGTGAATATTAGATAAAGTTATTTAAAGTAATATTAAATATTTTTTTCTCAAAAATTATTTTCATTAAACTCCTCCGCTATCCCCAGAGGCTCTAATTCTTTGCAACGATTATAAAACTAATTCTAAGTCAGAACCAGAATTAAGATTTTATGCTCCTCCATGATAAATCATTTTCATTTTCAATTGTTAACAAAGAATACTTTTTTTTTTCTTTCCAAATACTCACCATCAATCCTATTTTTAATTTATATCTTTAAACAATTCTGAAATCACCCCCATGTGCCGACTTTAGTATGCATATTTAACTTCAAATCAAGTGTCCATCTCCGAGTTTTGCTTTATGAATTGTGATGAAGCAGATGTAATAACTATCGAAAATAACTCCAACTTGCCTTTCAGTTCAGAAATGTGATTTAAAAAGATTTGTTAATTGAGGAGGTACAATGGCCACTGTAACTAACTATACAGATGTTGCAGACAATGCGACATGGTGTTTAATGGAAACCATGTGATTGAGAGGTCTAGTAGGTGATGCAGTGAGTGCTCAGTAGTCAGTAGTACTACCATAGTACTTAAAATATTTTCGTGATTGAGATTTCATAATTGAGGAAAAGCTTTTGATTACTTACTCATGAATTAATACTGGTCAACCATGAAAACACCATCCAGGGTAGCCAATACATGCTCCCCTTCACTTGCTGAAAATACTAACAAAACTAACAAAGAAGCTTTCTTAGTACAGCACTTACAGTGGAATGCCTTCTCTCACATTGAAAATTCCAACTCCAGCAATCTTGCAGACATAATGGAAAACCAATCATTGCATGGAACTAAATGCCCCTGGCACTATCCTTTAGTCTAACCGGCTTTTGGTATGTCCATAACTTAAGGTCCATCTTCTTGTGCTGTAAGAGGGTGAAAACAGAAATACATGTCATGTCATTTACAAGAAAACATGGGTGTTTAAGAACCAAGAAGAAGACTAATGCATGCATAAGAATAAATATAGCCACACCCAACGCATTGAGAGGACTTACTGCTCAAAATAAATCCCTGGAGCAAGCTCTGGGCTCTCTCTGCCTGCTCCGGAGTACCAGATATCTGAATAATCTTGGGTGTCACATCTGGTCTATCTTCTACAAGCGTTACATTGGCTCCCGATAACTGTTCCCATCAAAACATAAGTGACAATACATGGCTTTCTATTGAAATTAAAAATAGTGATACAAATGATATTAATTTCCAGAATCTAAATCTGAGATGCAAAATATTGGGAAGTTAATGAGGTATTTGCTTTTCATTCTTGAAGCTACGACAAGAAACAAAAATACAAAGTATGATCTAGATACAATCTGGAAGTACACAAACATAAAGAACAACTCATTAATCATTAGAAAAACAAGTTCTATCATTCTTGTTCTAAGAGTAACTAAGTTGCTCGCAGAGAATGGGGAAGAGAAAAAAATAAGGAGGGGGGAGCTCCTCTATGATGTCAGAGGGAAGTTTCCAACTACTTAATATAAAAATGTCTGTTTTAGCAATTTCCAATTCTAATATTAAAGGGACTGAAAGATCTAATGACACACACCTCACTTATCTGTGCAAGCTTGCTTTTGGATTTTGCTATAAGCTTTGGAACTGCATACTCTGGTATAACAACTTCAAGTGTACTCCTTGTGACAAGAGGTACAGCAATCCTAACCATTACAAAAGGTGGGGGAAAAAACATTAGAAAGGAGGAAGGGGAGAAAGAAAACAGCATGCAATAGTTGCACTTTGACCTATCGGCAAGTAACTCAACACAAAAATACAACATTTTATCATTAAATGAGCTAGGGACCAGTTACCTATTTAGACCACTAAGCACATCATCGCGGCGGTCACTTTCTTTCAGCTTTCCTGTATCAGTGCTAGATCCTCCAGTTTCCTTCCGAAAAGAAAGAAAGAAAATTTAAGTTTTTTCTTTCTTGAGATAAAAATCAACATTGTCGATCATTTATATGATTTGGCTACCCAAAATTGTAGAGAAGATCTGAGGTATTAAATTGCAATTGAAAAAAAAAATATAGCTCGAATTTTTAAAGAAAATTACTTGGTCATTGGATAGAAATCCATGTGTTCATATGCTAACCTATAAAGTTACAAGAGTAACTAAGACACCCCCCCCTCTTTCTCTTTTTCTCTTAAAATAAAAATAAAAGCAAAAACACCCCCAAAAAAATGCTTGCCATTTTTGTTGAATGACACATCTTTTACAGGACAACAAAAAAAATTCAACTGTTCTGTTTCCTCTCCAGGGAAAACTTTAAGTCTATTAATAGTTCAGATAAAAGTTTCCATGGCATTATATGCTCAAAAATTCTTTTCAGGGAAGACAAGAAAAATATATACTAAAGGTGGAAGCTAATAAATCTCCCAAACGGAAATCAATTAAATAACAGATAAATAAGGATGGGTAATATTGAAGATGACATGGCAATTCTCATTGTGTCAAAAGAATACCTTTGATGGAAGGGCTGCTACCGCAGTTTGCACATTCTGATTGGTTGTGGGAGTTTCAGTAACTGGAGCTATATTATTGGAAGAAGATGCCTCCACAGCAAGTAAGGGGGTTGATGGTGGTATTGTGTCCCTTTGAAAGAAATCCCTATACAAGTAACTTCTTAATCTTGATGTCACCTCAACAACAGCATCTCGGGCTGCTTTTATCTCTCCCACAATCTGTAGAGGCAACAGATTAGAGGAACAATTGAGAAATGTACAAAGCCGAATTAGAATACTAGGTCTTTGTTTTAACGTTGTTGAAGGTAGGATTTTGGATCCTCTCAATATCATTTTTTGGAAATTTTTAACAACAAAAGCCAGTGAAAACCGTACATTCTTTTATTTATAGAATTAGTGGCACAGCAATGGGGTGCATAAAGATCTATCATCATTATAAAGTTCAACATCTATCATTCACTCATTCAAACTATATTTACCAAAGTAATCAAATAGAATATTTGGGCAAGTTGTAGGTCAAATGACAAACCTGTACCAGCTCATCAGTTTTTGCAACACAGAGAGGTAGTTCTTCTCTAGGCAAAATTTGAATATTAGCACCAGTCAACCTCTTTATTTCCAATAGTGATGTGTCTTTTCCATCTAAGCAATCGATATCGCTGGATGGGACAACAAGCCTGGTGGTTATAGTATTGTCCTTATCTAGAACAAGATCGACAATGCGAGTTTGTATATGTAGCAAAGCTTCTTGAGCTGGGAACAGCTCATCATCAGGACCCTTAAGTACATAATAATAACAGTTAGAACTTTAAGCATGTGACATATATTATAGCTACGAAAACACACTGAACTGCATTTACAAGAGTTGAAGTTACAGTTACTTAAGCAGGAAGAGTATTGTCCGTAGAACACTTATAACATGAACTAGTGACCTAAAAGAGTTAGCACTAGTTATATACAATACACCACAGACAGAGTGAATAAGAGAAGGAAAGTACCTCCTCTGAAGTAATGATAATTATCTGTTCATCTGAACCACCAACAGGATCAGTGACCTTTACATCTACGCCAACTTCATTCTGAAGGAACTCTACAATTCCATCAGATTCCCCAACAATAAGATCAACTTTCTCAACTGGACAAAGTATACGGAAAACAAGGTCCTCGCCATAGAAGGGCTGCGCATCGTCAGCCATGGGGGCAGCCCCTGGCTCCATTGCATAACCTAATGAGGGGTGATTATTGTTTCTTGTATTGATGGTAGATCCCCGTGATCCAAATGCGGTCCCATCCACAGACGACCTACGAGATCCACTAGTTACATGAGGAACATAATCATCATCAGGAGAGAAAAAACGATCTGGTGAATGTACACGTCCATGGAAATGACCGCGGTCACGGTGCTGGCTCTCCCTCAACCGTGATGATATAACTACAAGAGCATTCTTTACAGCATTTATATCACCTACAACCTGCACAGAATATAATATAATTAATAGTCTTCAGTTTAAATATTTTTTAAATGAGTAAAATTGCAAGGAAATCACATCAGATCATTTAGAATGGCCTTGCACCGCTATGCATGTCCATAATTTCATTATCACTATGATGGTCCCGTCAAAAACCAGTAATGAAGAGAACTGTGAAAAATATCATCCTCAAATTGGTATGGTACTGCCTACTCTCCGTCATAAATGGTGGATTAAATTCAAGGAAAAATAATCAATAAATAGATACTTGGTCTAGCCAAGTTCAACCAGATCGTTACAGTTACAGAAGCACAAGATCCACACTAAATCAAAAGCAGTTGCTAATAAACTTCGGAAATGCAGCACAAACCCAACACTCCAACATAAAATGTTCTCCAAACCACCAACTGAAAGCCAGATTACTTTGAAGCCGAATATCTTTCATCCCGTCTAGCTCTTTAGCTGAAAGTAATGAAGGAGCTTCAAATGCCATTTCAAGCCGTAGCTATAATCAGTTATGATTGATCCTTTATTTCATTAGCTTATGAGACGCTCACTATTTAAGGAGGAAAGAAGCAAACAAAAGAGTGAAACGTGAAATGCCATTAATATCTTCAGTTAATTTTAATTAGTCCTCCAAAAGCAAGAAGAACCATCACGAGTGAGTGAGAAATGAGAATAAGGAGCAAAACCAGAGCATTCTCCGTAGTCCATAGTCCATACCCATGGAAACATTTTGACAACAAAATTTAATGAACGGGTTTTGAGCAAGCATGCAATTTAAGGAAGGCATCAGATGTAAAAAGTTCCAAGCTTTTTTTAGTTGTTCCAACCTGAACAATCTCTTCTGACATGGAAACACAACGAGGTAGATTGTGATCTCTAGGTAGTATCCTAATTTGGGTCTTTGTTTCCATCCTCATTTGTTCTATAATCTTCCCTCCTTTCCCCAACAAACACCCAACATGCATTCTCGAAACCACCAACCTCGTCGCCACACGGTTGCCCCCACCACCTCTGCCACCTCCACCGCCACCGCCATACTCATCCTCCTCCTCCCCGACCCCGAAAGCCGCGTCGCTCTCGAGAATCCTCTCATGGATCAGCAGCAGCGCCTCCTGCGCCGGCGAGAATGACGGCATTCTTCCCTCCGGGTCCCGGCGGCGCGTGTCGGAAATCTCGATGATTCGCTCCTCGTCGCAGGGGATCAGCTCGTGCACGTTGATCCACGCGCCGGTGTGCTGCCTAATGGACTTTATAATGCTGCCGGACTTTCCAATCACGCCGCCGGCCTTCATGTCGTGGCACAGAATGCGGTAACTAGTTGTCACCGTTAATGGCGAGTCCTGCGTCTTAGGGTACCGGCCGCCACCACCGCCACCACCTCCGCCTCCGCCGCGATGACGGTGGGAGCTGGTGTTATAGTGGTGATTATTATAGCGAGGCCTTGTCCTAGGCAATGTCTCAGAATCATAGTCTTGGTCATAGTAGTAGTTCCTCTTAGATCTAGACCTCTCCATCAAGAAACTTTGATTCGGTTTTGAGTTCTGAGTTCTGAGTTCTGAGTTCCGAGTTCCGAGTTCCGAGTTCTGAGTGAGTTTCCAAAGTAGAAAAATTGAAAGTTCGAGGTTTAACGATTTCAGGAATCCAATGAATCCACTAAGTACCAGACATTGTTGTTGTTGTTGTTGTCATGGGAAAGAAATAATAGAAATAGAAAAATTTTGTTGACTTTGAATTTGTGCAATCAATGTAAGGAGTTCATCCTCTTGTGAAACCCTAGAAACAGAGAACTTCGTAGTTCGTAGTGTCTTCGCAGACTTGAGCAGAAAGAAGAGCCAAGTGTTATCGCTTTTTATTATGTTAATAATAATATTTATATTTACATATATAACTTAGTTGCCGTGCTATTTGAGTGCCACTCACTCAACTCAACAGTCAAGGTTCAACTTAACGCTGCAATAGATAAATAATGAATAATTTAATTTTAATTTGTTTTTAATTTAATATTGCTAGGAGGCTTTTCAAATTCACATCAAATTTATTTGTTTAATTAATATGAAAAATGATTTGATGTTTTAAATTATTCATTTTGTAACCAAATGTATTTAATGACCGATATTACATTATTAGTTAATAATAACTAGGGTGACAACTTTAACTGTGGTTGCAAGTTGCATTTAGTTTAGTAACATCTTTTAAGTCCTGACACTTAGACAATTTTATTTTTTATATACATATAAAAACATATATAATTCATATTTTTTTTTTATTCATATAATTTCAAATGAGATTCACATACTTTTATATATGTACAGCAGTATAAAAATTGATCAATTTTTTTTGTAGAAATCAATTTATCTTTCTTTTTAAATTATATATCAACTTTTTTTTTTAATTAAAGTTGACTGAGTAAACCCCACGGTAAAATCAAACTTTATACGTAATGTGACTTGATTCATTTCTCGGCATTTATTCAAATAATTGTCTGATCAAATTGGCATTAAATTAAGAATAATATTAAATTTTTTAAAATAAATAATATTTAAAATCATAAATATTTTTTATTTATCTCATGCAATGATTTGAAATTTATGAAAATTTAAAAATATCAAATTTATTATTAATAATGACGATTTGACTATTAATATTTTTTTTGTGTTTGTCTAAAACAAGAAATCAATCCACTCAATTTTTTTTACAAATAAAAAAAAGAAAAAACAATAATTATATTGACATTATTAACAATAAATTTAATATTTCTCAATTTGTAGGGTTAAAAATTCAAAATCCTCTATCAAAGGCAGTGCTATTAAATACGGACCGACCCGGTTGGGTGACCGGTTTGGGTCAGTTATTGGATCAGGCATGCAATTAGCCACTTATGACCCGTACGGCCCGTTCGATTTTTTTCGGATCCTAGTGACCCGTCGGGTCTGATGAACCGGTGCGGGTGGCTTGCAAGTGTGGAAGGATGCATCAGCACAATCCCAGTTGCAAAAAAATGAAGAAAAAAATCGCAACTTTCAGTAATCCACACAACACCCACATAGTTTTGAGGAATAGTAACCAAAATGTCATTTTTTGAAAAAAAAATTTACCCAAATGCCACGCGAATAGTACTTTTTACTAGACTGCCACGTAGGCGTAATTCGCTACGACTGGTAGCGAATTACGTTCGCCAAAGATTTTATGACACGTGGCACACTTTCGCAGGAAAAAGATGATGTGTCATAATTCGCTATCAGTGGTAGCGAATTTGGTCTGCAATATGGCCATGTGTCACAAAATCATTGGCCACGAAATTCGCTACCAGTGGTAGCGAATTATGACACGTGGCAGTCTGGTAAAAAATATTGTTCGCGTGGCATTTGGATAATTTTTTTGCCAAAACGTGGCACTTTGGTCAATGTTCCTAGTTTTGAAGCATACCCTTCACTCCATTCCCCAAAAGGAACGATTTTGAAACCATTTACGCAACTGGGTAGGTACACAGCGAAATAGTGGCAGGAATGAAATAGAGATGATGGAGAAGTGATGAACGAGGAAGATGGAAACACTGGATAGAGAGCAACACCAGCAGAAGAAATAACCATCTCCATTTTGCAAAGTAAAGTAAAGAAACAATGAGGCGAAACAAAAAGCCCCATTTTTTAATCGGATGGAAAAGCTTGAGATGTAGAGGCTGTGAGTGAAAAGGTGAGGAAAGAGGATAAGAAATTGATATCTAGACCTTTCCACGTGGTTTCCACATGCTCCTTTCTTCCACTTTTGGACTTATATATCCATGGGCTTTGAACTTAGTAACTGTTAGAAATATATTGTAATTAGGGTTTCCTTATTTTGTATTAGGTCAGATTACATTAGGTTTGGGCTTAGCCCATTAGTTTGTTTATATATTGTACATCTCTCTCATTCGTTAATATATAGAAATATTTCAAATGTTCCTCTCTTTTCTCTCGTTATTTAACATGGTATCAAGAGCCTAAGGAACTTTGAAATTTTTTATTTTTTTTTCCGGTGAACCCACTGTTCATCGTCGTTTAAATTTTTTTTCGGAGCTGTCTCCTTGTCAGTTTCCGGACGCTTCTCTCTCTGCATACAGCTTCTGTCTCGTCCAGAACCACCGTTCGGTCACCTTTTCCGGCGATTCACATACCGCCGTGCTCGTCTCAGCCGCGCGGTTCCAACGCCACCGGTCCCGTTCGATTCCAAGGTCACACGCGCCCTCACGCGCGCGTGACAGTTCGGACACTCTCTTCACTCCGGCGGCGCGTGGAGGCTCCTCTCCGAACGTGGCTGGTTGCGATCTTCTCGTCTCCTTGCGTAGGTTCTGGATCTGGTCTTGTTTTGGTGTTTGAACCTCTTTTTGCGTTGACGCACAGATCCCTCTTCTACCGTTTCTACACTGGATTCGGTGATGTCTACCTTGCTTAGAATTCCCTCTAAGCCCTCTACGTCATCAGCACCTCCTATGATGCATATACCCCCAACGGATTCTGTTGACTCTTCCGCTCTTGCTGCTCAAAGGTATGGTCGTGGACGTCGATTCTCTAAAAGAAAGATCTTATGCACTCATTATCATCAGACCAATCATACTATTGACCGCTGTTGGAAGCTTCATGGCAGGCCACCTAGTACCTCTGCTCATGTTGCTCAGGCTTTCTCTAGTACCTCTGCTCCAGAGTTACCTTCCAGTGCACAACCTCCAGCTGCTCTTCTAAATGAATTTGCGACTTGGTGGTCTGAGAAGCAAACATCAGGTCCCACTACATCCATTGCTCCCTCTGGTAATTCTTTTGCTGGCATCTTTCAGTTGCACTCTATAGGCCCTTGGACTCTTGATTCTGGGGCTTCTGATCACATTTCTGATAATAAGTCCTTATTTACTTTCCTTTGTACTACTGGTTCTTTTCCCACTATTACTATGGCCAATGGGTCTCTGGTCCAATCAAGGGGGATTGGCACAGTTCTTCTTTTACCCAATTTATCTCTGGATCATGTTCTATATGTGCCTGATTCTCCTTTTAACTTACTTTTTGTTAGTCGTTTGACCAAATCATTAACTGTGTTGTTTCTTTTACTAAAACCTCTGTCATCTTTCAGGATCAGAGTTCGGGGAAGGAGATTACCAAAGGATGTGAGTCTAAGGGCCTCTATCAACTAGTTCCCTCTTCCTCAGCCTGCTCCATTGTGGATTCTCCTCTTACCATCCATGCTCGTCTGGGCCATCCTAGTCTTACAAAGCTTCAGAAGATGGTTCCCCATTTATCGTCTCTTTCTACTTTAAATTGTGAGTCTTGCCAGTTTGGGAAACATACTCGTAGTACGTTTCAGAGTCGTCTTAGTCATCAAGTTGTTTCTCCTTTTTCTGTAGTCCACTCTTATGTTTGGGGACTAAGTCTTCATTCTTCCACTTTGGGTTTTAAGTACTTTGTTACCTTTATTGATGATTATCCCAGATGTACTTGGTTATTTTTGATGAAAAAGCGGTCTGAGTTGTTTTCTATTTTTCAGTTATTTTATAATGAAATAAAAACTCAATTTGGTATTCTTATTCGTACTTTTCGTAGTGATAATGCATGTGAATACTTATCTCATCAATTTCAATAATTCTTTTCATCTCATGGCATTCTTCATCAAACATCTTGCCCTCATACACCTCAACAAAATGGTGTAGCCGAGCTCAAGAATCACCATCTGGTTGAAACCACTCGTGCCTTGTTAATTGATGGTAATGTTCCATACACATTCTGGGGTGATGCTAACTTACTGCATGTTATCTCATTAATCGCATGCCATCATCTGTTCTCAATCATAAGGTACCTCACTCTATTTTATTCTCCCATCAGGCTTTATATCCTTTAACTCCACATGTGTTTGGTTCTACGTGTTTTGTTCATCATCTTGGTCCAGGTTTGGATAAATTAGCTCCCAAGTCTCATAAATATGTTTTTCTGGGTTATCCTCAGTCTCAAAAGGGTTATCGTTGCTACTCTCCCACTTTACGTCGATACTTTATCTCAGCGGATGTCTCTTTTTTTGAATCAGTTCCTTTTTTTGGATCCTCTACTACTTCTGTGGACACTTCTATTACTCCTGTGGACACTGATTCTGTACAGTCATGCTTCTCAGGTGACCTTCTTTACCTTCCGTCTTTACCTGTCCATGTTTCTGACTCTCCTTCTATCACCTCCTCTGCTGATGAGATCGAGCATAGTTCGTCAGATGTATCTGTGGACTCACATTCAACTGCATATCCTCCCACGGCTTTGGTCCCACCTTCGGATAGTGACCTTCTCATTGCTCTTCGTAAGGGTACTCGTGATACTCGCCCTCCAGTCAGGTATACAGTCAATATTAGTTACCATTGTCTTTCTCCATTATATTTTGCTTGCCTTTCCTCTTTGTCCTCTGTATCTGTTCCTAAGACTAAAGGTGATGCACTTTCACATTCGGGATGGAGACAAGCTATGATTGATGAAATGAGTGCTCTTCATCATAATGGCACATGGGATCTGGTGCCTCTTCCTTCTGGAAAATCTGTGGTTAGTTGCAGATGGATTTATGCTATTAAGGTTGGACCTGATGGTCAAGTGGATCGTCTTAAAGCTCGCTTGGTGGCGAAGGGTTTTACTTAAGTCTTTGGCTTGGATTTTATTGATACTTTTTCTCATGTGGCGAAAATGTCTACTGTTCTTTATTGCCATCGCTGCTATTCGCCATTGGCCTCTCTACCAACTGGATATCAAGAATGCTTTTCTTCATGGTGATCTTGAGGAAGAAATTTATATGGAGCAACATCCT